TATAGAGTTGCTAGTTTTTTTCGCAATATTGAAAGTACAGAAAGAGTAATAAATAATTTCATGAAAAATGCGTAAAGCTTTGACTATATGTTCAGTAGCATATGAAATTGTTGACTGATTAAAATTTAGATTCACTTTTTAATACAATACCGAAACATTTGGAACTGACTGTGACATAAGCCACACAAAACAACCAACAAGTTTTGTCAGTTTTGAAGATATAAAAATAAAATTTAAAACTTGGTTCACTCTTCTTGAGTCTTTTTTTTGTCTTGTTTTCCTTGTTCTTGTTTCTTGTGATTGCAATCAAAATTCTGATTTTATTTTTTTATATTTTGTAACAAATTCTACACTGCGTCTTTTATGTAAGCTACCAGCAATAATTTTTTTCGAGTCTGGCTCAATCTTTATTAGAAATGATGTGAATGTCATCTGTGACATATATTACAAGTATATGATTCACAAAATAACCTTTTAAACATAGTCCTATTTTTTATTAATAATTAATTAATTTTTAACTGAAATAAATCAATTATTTAGTACAAGAATTTGATCATACTGCGCGAGTGCTATTTGTGAATTATTAAGAATTCTCTTGATTCATGTAACACACCTTAAAATTGAAAGAATACTGTCTGCGTCAACTATGAAAGTAAAGAAATAATACACTGTATGAATTTAAATATTTATATAATTTATATCTAATCAACTTGTTTGATGGTAGAAGTATTCATTTACTTTAAATAATGAGAAAAAAAAACTATAACACCACTGGTAATTTGTTATAATCCAATATAGTAATCTATTATTACTCCAATATAAATGTTGTATTTGATTCCCAAAATTATATTATTATTTCAGATTCTCTTTTCAAAAAAAAATATTTTGATAACGGACATCCTTTTTCAAATTTTCTTCCAATCGGGTACGCGGTTTGAAACATTGCACCCATTCCGTTCATTTCCGATTTCTCCTTTTTATACCGAAAACAAAAAAATAAACGTCCAATGGTAGATAGGTACTGTTACGACATAAAAGAGAATCAATTTATTATAACAGCAGGTACCAGCAACAGCAAAATCTATTCGCTGGTTTTCGCCTTCAATTTATAATACTGATGCACCTATATTAATTTATATCTTTTCCATCAAATTATTTATTGCAAGTATTAAAACAAAATCCTAAATAATTGTGAAATGATATACGCGTAACTATAAATCGTATGACCTATAAATTATTTGACTGTAAGTAATAATAAGCTAGATATTACAAACAGCAATATTTCGGGATTGTTATAATTTGTTTGATTAGTCGGTTATAAATTTGCATAAACAAATTAAACCGGATGAATTATAATACGCAAATGAAATTAATATTTATATTTTACTAATAATGGTAGACATTAACTACTATTTCATTCAGCAAATCTGATCGCCTTTATACTATATTATCGCAGTGCTCAGTCGTGTTAACCTATTTTCACACGAGCTCTAATTGATCGACCTGTTTCAATTACTACTGACTATTTAAGCATGCAATTGACGTGCGGAGCAATTCGATATTGTCTTACAGTCCAGCAAATGCCCAACATCAATGCTACTTGCAATATGTTGATAAACAGAGAGAACTAAAGGACTTGCTTTGTTAGATGGATTGAGAAAACAGTAGCAAGTTATACGAAATAAACTTGCTTGAAATTTATTTGGCACCGAGTGCACGAATGGATCATTATTGTTTCACATCCGTATGTAGAACAATAGTGTCGTGCACTTTGTCAACATTTGCACTTGCTGGAAGACTGCCCTACGGAATTACATTCAATTGCCTCGGCGTCTGATCTCGCGAATGTTTTGCTGCAGTAGATACGAGATGAAGATTCGACAACCCAATCCAGAGCTACGAGGTTGTAATAAAACCGGTGCGTTGTAATAAAATCGTTTCTGACAATTCGAGCAGCGAATATATGTGGCATACGTAATTCACAATTATGCAAATCAGTTTACAAATTGCAGTAAAATGTTTTTAATTGTACAAAATGCTTTTAGTAAACTATTATACATGCTTTAATTTTATTATGCATTACATTTTTCTTCATATAATTTGTTTAACTGTCATTTGCTAGCATTTATTATGAAACAACTAACTTTATATAAATGATTTTCACACTAAATATGAAACCTATACAGCTTAGGCGTTCGTGGTACAGTCATAAGTGCCACGAACTTGCAACGGCAAAGTTCGGGTTCAAATAGTGCGCTAAGTACTACAACCTGATATCAAGTAATATCCATATTGTTTGAGATAAATAAACGTATTTTATTCTACATACCGCACCGTACATTTGACTTCCCGTAGGGTAAGTTAAAGTAATCGCAAAAAAAGAAAATGAATATTTTTATATATCTTTACGTTTCAGAGTTTCTGAACATTTTGAAAAAAAGATATATGTGTGTACGTATGTGTGTGTTATGTATGTGCGAATACAATTTTTATTCAACGATTTTGAGAACTCGGTTCAACCGATTTGAATGATTCAAACATTTGATTCCAATTGATAAGGAGACGCGCTGATTAGTTTTTTGCAAATTGGCAAAAAATGGTAATTCAGTTTTACAGAGAACAGAGCGTCGAATTTTAATAACTCAAAAAACATTTTATTTGTATTATCAAAATGAAGCATTGATTAAATATCCAGGAAGGCAGGATCAGCGGTTTCAGAGATCCAATAAAAAAAGGTAAAAAAATAATATTTGGCGGTTAAATATGATCATTTTCATATGGATATCACATTAAACATATGGATATTAAATTACCAGATGTTTTATAGAGATTTTAATAATAAGTACAAATATTGTTTACATTTCTATGGGTACCGTACCAATGTTTATTCGTTAGACTGCGACACAGCGCTTACGCGTTTCAATATTTCGTCTCTGAAACAGCAATAAAGCAGCGCCATTGCTTCGAAAAAAGTATAAAATTTATATAAAAAACTAGTGGGGCGCATGGCATCGTGCCTTGAGGCAAATTGCTGGAACTTTTTTAAAAAAAAGATTAACATTTTTGAAAAAAATTTACTCTAAAAAAATTAGATTTTTGAGAAAATATAAATTTTTGACAAAAATTTACTTTTTTTTTTAAAAAAAAAGAATTTTTAAAGAAAAATTTACTTTTTTTTGAAAAAAAAAATTTTTGAAGAAAAATTTATTTTGAAAAATCTTGCAAATTCAGAACATTTTTTCAAAGCAATTGAACTGCTTTAACTGCATAGAGACGAAATCTCGAAGCGCGTAAGCGCCGCGTCGCCATCTAACGGATAAACATTGGTACGGAACCCATAGGAATGTAAACAAAATTTATACTTATTGTTAAAATCTTTATAAAATATTTGATAATTTGATGTGCGTATGTCTAATGATCATTTTTTTTTACTTTTTTTACTAGATCTCCAAAACCGCTAGACCTGCCTTTATGAAAATTCAGTTCTTCATCTTGTTAATACAAGTAATATGTTTTTGGAATTATTCAAATCGGACGCTTCGTTCTCTTAAAAACTGAGTTACCGTTTTTGGCACATTTTGCCCCATATATTCGGAACGGCTAGAACTGCCTTCGCCAAAAACTAATCAGCACGTCTCCTTATCAATACAAATCGAATGTTTTTTGAATTATTAAAATCGCTTCATCCGTGTTCCCGAAATTGTCGACGAAAATTTGTATACGAACACACACACACACATACACACACATACATCCATTTTTTCTAAGGTATGCCAAAATGTTCAGAAGGTTTGAAACGTAAAGATATATAAAAATTTTCATTTTCGATTTTTTTGCGATTCCTATAACTTGCCCTACGGCAAGTTAAAAATCATAGTACATATATAAACTAGTGGGGTGCATGACATCGTGCCTTAAGGCAAATTGCTGGATTTTCCCGTACCGTAATTAAAAATCTTAGCACGGAACCAAAAAAAATTACACAAAATGTGTACACATTATTAAAATATCTATAAAATATCTGATAATTTGATGTACATATGACCAATAAACATTTTTGAATGCCAAATGACATTTTTTTAATTTATTTTTATTGAGAATCCTGCCTTCCCAAAAAGAAGTAAGATGTTGTTTGAATTATAAAAATCGGACGATCTGTTCTCTTAAAAACGGAGTTTTTTGGCACTTTTTGCCCCGTATCTTTGGAACGGCTAGACCTGCCTTTGCCAAAAACTGATCAGCACGTCTACTTATCAATACGAATCGAATGTTTTTTGAATTATTGAAATCGCTTCATCCGTGTTCCCGAAATTGTCGACGAAAATTTGTATCCGAACACACACACACATACACACACACATACATCCATTTTTTCTAAGGTATGTCAGAATATTCAGAAACCTTTCAAACGTAAAGATATGTAAAAATTTTCATTTTCGATTTTTTTGCGATTACTATAACTTACCCTACAGGAAGTTAAAAATCATTGTATATAAAAAACACATTTTTTTCAAAAAAAAAAAAAAATTTATTAAAAATTTCATGATTCTCAAAAAATCTAATTTGCTCAAATTTAAAAAAAAAATAATCTTTTTTTAACATTTTTTTTAAATTTTTGTTACGGTAGATTCCAGCAATTTGGCTTAAGGCACGATGCCATGCAGCACTACTTACTTCTTAATATTATTAAATGAATTTTTTTGTTGTTAAACCATAGCAGAATAGCTTATAAAATTGTATGTAATTTTGATTGCTGTTTATTAATTAATGAAAAAATGTATTTTATACGTATATAAAAAATGTATCTTACCGTATATTTGTTTGCAATATTTCGTGTAAATAATGTAAAAATTTTCGCTACCTGTTCGTTTCCGCAAAACCCGTAAATCGTGTGCAAACCTACATAGAATCGTCGTAAGTATGTCTATGGGGCTATGGCACAGCCGAAATCATAGTACTACATATATCTGATAACGAATAACAGCTACTAGTACAAACGCAGCGCCCGTGCTCGGCCGCGTTTCTCGTCCAATGTACAAGGCCGGCCTAGTGTCCTCTCTTTCTTCACAACGCGTCAGACCGAACATCGTGCCGACTGCGGCCTGTGCAGTCATAAGTTAAATACCTTTAGCATCGACTCGTGTGTGTCAATTCACAAAGTTTATTGATTCTTAGCTAGGAGTGACAGCCGAAATAATCTAGGTGAGTATTATATACGAAGGTGCAGCGTTCATTAAGTTCATTATTTCGGTTTTGATGCTAGTAAACGAAGCAGTGTTTGTAATAATGTAGTGCAAGTGAAGTTGTTCATTCCTAATTCTAAATTATATACTAGCGACGCGCCGCAAAGTAATTAAAAAGTTTGAAGAGAAGAAGTTGTACCAGGCGTTTTTAATCTATATTTATGGGTGTTGGTATTAAAATCTAATACGAATCAAAATATTAATTACAGTGAGTATGTATACCTTCTTTGTAAAAGTGTTGTAGTAAATGAAAATCATTCGCATGAATATTAATAAATGAACTTTCATTACTTTAAAAATTATTTTAATAATTCACGATGTATTGAAAATGATTTAAATGTAAATGAAGCATTGTTCATTTTTGAAAAAAAATCTATCGATGTATAAAATGAAGAGTCATCGATGGTTTCTGTTATTGAATTATACAATTACAATAAAAACATTGAAAAACTCAAAAACAATGTAAGCTAAATTTCTTTAATGGAATATGTTGTTTACCTATAGCAAGGATGAGCAACCCGCGGCCCGCCGGATGTTATTCTGCGGCCCGCCAAGCATTTCTCAACAACAGATTATTTTACTAGATATTTTATCAAATACAGCTGTGAAGGCTAATTTTGTCGTCAGTCAAATTCTGGTAAAAGCTGTTGTTCGAAGAAATAGCATTTCCTGATAAAATCAATATTAATTTATTTAAATATTAGTTTAACAAGCTTCAATATTGCAAGAAAAATTGAGAACTTGTCCGAGAACATAGGAACAACGCATTTCGAAATTTAAAATAATTAAATAAATAAATCTTATAAAGTCGCGAGGATTAAAACATCGTAAATTTAAAAACTTCCTGGCAATTTAGATCGTGAATATGTCGATTTTCAATTCTAAAGTACGTTAGCTCAATAGTGATGCAATGCTTAAAGGAGTATACGACTCAAATGGCGAATTACAATCGTTTTTGGATATGAAATAATAATTATAGTCCTTTCGGTATTTTGGTAATAAAGAATAATATCTTTTGCAGAATTTTGTGTTTCACATTTCATTTTCAGAAAAAGAAAGTGTGAACAAATTTTAATTGTGATTCCAAATGGTCAAAGCTAACAAGATAGCTGTTTTCATGTAAATGTTTTCTTCGCCATTTAACATGCAAAATAATATAGATTTAAAAAATGCATTTTTTCAGTAAACACCGATTTTTTTATAAATCTTATGTCAGTCCTGAGAAAATTTTGCTTTTGAAAAAAAAAACGCAAATCAAATTATGATAAATTCTTTTTTTGGAAGTACGTGTGTGCGCGAACAATTACACAGGCCCACAAAGAAAAGTCGCTGGTTAATAATTAATTCATTCAGAAAAAAATCTAGATTGAATATTGTGCCAATTTTTAAATATTTTTCAATATTTTGTGCCCCAATTTTGACTATAGATTTATCTTCAGCGGTAAAAGAAACAATCCAGACAACTCTTTTTGTGGACCTGTGTAAATTTCAACCATAAAATTCATAAAAAATCATCAAAGCTAAGTAAAGCATGTCAAAGCTGCATACGCGTTGCTACTTTCCGCATTAAAAAATTAAAATAAAGAACAAAATCAGCTTATATAAAAAAAGCAGTACCAATTTTTTTATTAAAGTTTTCAAGTAAAATTGTTTTTCTTTTAAATATTATTTGTCTTCATTTTGTATTATAATAATATTTATAAACACTTATAATATACACTTGTAATTATATAAAATATATACTTCGTTCAATTTTATATTTTTGTTCTTTTCTTGTGGCAATTTTGTAATTTTGTTGCAATTACATTATTCCCGCGCTCAGTCAATAAATCTTTCGACTTAATTTTAGATCAGACTCTTATCAGTGTTTATGAGAAAGCTTCAATTTTATTAAAAAATGAAATAAATTTTTATCATGGCTTGTACGGCCGTAACATTTTTTCAAAATTTTGTTCTTTATTTTAATTTTTTTACGCGAATAGAAAACTACATACAACTCCAAATTTTTAATTTTTTATAATGAACATTTTAGTAGTGATTTTTTGTATTGCTCGGTAATCGATCAACTAACTATTATCGCCTTTTTTGTGAACGTTTTTAATTGAAATTCGATCAAGATTTTTCTGAGCTTATAAAAAAGCTTAAACTTATCCACTTTATCCGCTGTAACATTTTAAAAATGGCAACGAAATGGTTACCTCCGATAAAACTTACTGATTTGCAGGCTTATCCTATTGTACAAATATTTCTCGATGCGCATAAGAAGTACAAGTTTTTGAATGTCTCACAAAAGGAGCTATTTCAGCGAAAAAAATTAGAAATTTAATTTTAAAATCAGGAGATAAAACTGTTTTTGAGAAAAAATGGAATTTTTTCAGAGTATAACATAATTATAATATGAATGTTAGTATTTTAGCGTTGCAATGGGTAAATTATCAATGTAATAATATTTATACATTCAGAATTCATATACTGAAGTTATACTAATGATTTTCTAAAAATATTTTCTGTAGCTAAACGTTTGCCGGGTCAGCTAGTATATATATAAATTACGTGCGGCCCGCCAAAAAAATTGAAAATGTAAATTGGCCCGTGGGCTAAAAAGGTTGCTCGCCCTTGACCTATAGAATTGTTTTTTATGTAATGAAAATACTGTAAGGCATTGGCTTCCAACCTTTTTGCACCTGCGCCTAACGTTATTTTACACTTTCGCTACGGTAGTGTTTTCCCCAGGAGTGACACTGCTGTACAAAACAACAAACTGCCCAGTAACGCTACTGAACGGACCAAGCACAACATACTTTTTTTTTTAAATTTCATTGGCCTCCGCTTTACAGCATTTTTAGCCACCTACATTATTCATATTATTTTTCATCATATTCAATACAATTCTTACATATATATTTCTTACACCTTCATCATATATACTATCTCTTCTTATATCCTAATTTTGCATTCAATTTTCTTTCTACGATTTTCATTCTTTTTCTTGTTTCTCAATATGTTCTTCTCATCTTCTAAACCAAACATCTTTATTCCCTTCTTACATCTAATACAATATTTTTTGTATTATACAAACTAACAATTCTTAATCTAATTCAATATTTCATATTTTTAAATCTGGTATTGCTGGAGATTCGAACCGAATTCCTCCAGCGAATGAGTCGAGAACGCTACTGAGTGAGCTATTCCCGCCACAACAACATACTTTTTACTAAAGATTCTCCGATCATTTTCATCAAACGTGTATTTAAAAATTAAACATACACTTCTAAAAAACTAAATAATCCAATTATATAAATTGAGATTCGCAATAAATTAACTCATAAGGAGAATCAGATTGTAGCTTGTCTCGGATTTTGACGAAACTTGGCATAATGGTTGATTTTATGCCCAAACGGACCGTGGTAAAATATTAGAGGCCTATGAGAAGCGGTTTAATTATAAAAATTTTAGTAGCGCAATTTAGATAGCTTGCAATGGTACCCCGTATTAGCGCGAGTTCTCCTTATCAAGAGTTACAAATCTTGAAACAAGGGTCGACACACTGGATGTCGTCTATAGGCGACACCCGTACACACAGGTCGTCAAGTAGATGTCGCCTATGGGATATCCTCGTAGCAAAAGATTTAAAAAAAATGTTGTACCGCATGATTTTTTAAACAATCTACTTTAATAGATACTCAACTGATAATTGGCATTATGTAGAAATATACATAAAAATATTTATTGATTTATCTACGCCAATTTGAATACTTAATTAATTTCTGCGTTGAACACGAAGATAGTATTTTGAAAACATCTTGAAATGACCTCATGTCCCTTAGGTTGGAAATTACTGCCTTAAGGTCATTCGTATACATGATGATCAATATATGAAACGGCAGATTTAGTAGGAACTCCTTGCATTGGTCGTGTTATACGCAAATTATTTAAAAAAAAGAAATAAAACTAGGTTTTTTTTATTGCAAGGTATTATAAAAATAAAAGGATTTTCTTGTGCAATCGTTTGACATAAGCTAAAATTTTGACTTTTGATGCTAAAACGGTTGTATGTATTTTATAATACACGAAAAAATACGTTTCAAACCCGCATTAAAAAAAATATACGTATTTTCAAAAAAAAGGATGATATTTGTCCAGTATTAAACTCACAGCAATAGTTGATTCTTTTACGAATAAAGAATATTATGACCTATATAATTGTATGTAGTTGCGTTTGTCGTTATGCCGATATATATTCAAGTTCTTAATAAATCATTGAATTTAATATTGTAATAAGAGCAATGATTTAATTATTTATTGGACTATATAGAATGTATTTTGCTTCGTTAGAAATAATTTCTCCAACTTGCTATTAATTATCTACATATATTGCATGTGATAATTATTATTGTAACGTAAATAGCAAAGTGCAAATTATCATACATATCATTTAAAGAATAATTTCATAGTTCTTGTTCTAAAAATAAATATCAGATTTAAGAACAAAGTTTAATCTTTATACCGTAGTTTATACACATAGATAATAAATTAATCAATACGTTACAAGTAAATCTGGATGAATTGTTCGTTGTACATAATATACATATGTTCAATCTCTTAATCACCTTGAAATATTTCCAGTGTATATATGTATCTAAATCATGAATCTGCATAACGACATTATCGCAACAAAGACACGTTATATTTGAGATAAAGTCTCAAAGTACAAATTGATTGCAATAGCGTTTCACTTGATTAGCAGAATCAATAATTTTAGTTAGTTTTTAGGGCAAATAAATTTTGAGTGTCAATAAAATAACATTTTAACGTAACTATAAGTATGATGAAATGACAATTAAATTTTATAACAGTACGTTCAATGACAAAATAAATATCTTTTTCGTTTACTTTTCACGTTTATCGGCTGCAGCACTCTGAGCAGTTTGAAAGAGGGCGTCGCTTAAATAAACTCAAACTTATCCAAAGTTTGAATATATTACAGCTATATAATTATCAAATGCAAATTTTATTACATATCTGTCGAAACTCATCTTCTTGCCGTCATTCGAGTTATTGGGGAATGGAATTAAAATATAAATTTCTTGCATATTGTCTGCACTTCCTCTGCACTGCGTTTATGGTATCAAAATTTAAGTACCATCAGTTCTTATTGCAAAGAGTACTTAAGATAAAAAAAAATCTATAACAGTTTTTCCGGTTATAGTTTGATATCGAGATATTTCCATGTTGTTTGTGGCCGGTACTCATTGCCATTTTTACTATGAACTAATAAAGGTAATTACTGTGGAGATGTCGTTTACTCATTCGTCGTGAATAAATGTTCCTATAAAATACGTTTCATTACTGTTCAATAGCAATTCAAATGTAATGAAATAAGCTGATTATAGGTATATTTACTATTAGAATAATAATTATTACATTCGGAATATAAACGCTTTTGCTACAAGCGTTGCCTATAATGTTGAACAGCGTGTATAGGTGTCGTCTAAATGTGTCCACTTTTGTTTCAAAATTTATCATTTCGAGTGAAATGATTGATAATTGTAATATGGTATTGTAATTTTTAATTAATAAGTACATTTTTATTGATGAATGCACAATTTTAAAATACGCCTATACCACCGTTTTATGATCTTACGCGCTTTCGATCTTACACGGCAACTCCCCGTTTTATGATCAAAACTAAATTTTATGTGCGTATAAGCTAGTTTGTTTAAAATACCAAAACAAAAGCACGATTGCTTTTAAACTTTGTTTTTAATCAGTGTGTATATGTAATTGATAGCGTGAATTTATTCAAAGTGAGATAATAACAGTATTTTTAATTATTGAAATGAATTAATATTCTTAGAATTTATTAAATTTGTTTGATTTATTTTTCTTTGAATGTTTGTGTTATTCATCATTATTCAAAGACTGACAAAAAGGGCTTTTTAATAGTGATTTTCGTTTAGCACGGTTTTTCCATAAAAGATTGAGTTTTACGTTTTTTATGGAACCTAATATCTTTCGTATAAAGCGGGGTACAGGTGTATGTTGTTGTGCCTGGTCCGTTTAGTACCGTTTCTGGGCGGCTCGCTGTTCAGTATAGCAGTGTCATTCCAGCGGGTTAATATTTTGAATTACTTTGAAGTACTGCCTAAAAAACACAGCTGTATAAAAATATAATGTTTCAATGAATTTTGAATTTTAAATTTTTATTTGTTTTATTTTGTGGCCAAAAGTAGCAGCTCTGAAGGCGTGCAATAAGTGTAACTTAAAATTAATGCGAGATTAGTTTTTAGCATATTTGAAGCCCACCCAGCAGATGTTTATTTATAGTTTTTGTTGTTCATTATAATTATAAGTAAATACGGATAATCTGTCTATATGGGAGATGAAAAAACTTAACGCTTGAAAGAATTTATTACGCCCATATAATAGTGTTCAATAGCGTAATATCACTCTCAGGAAGTTAATAACAATAAACAAATTCAAATAACACTGGGAGAAAATAAAAATCAAATATAAAAATCAGAGCGGTGTAAATGCAGCTGAAAGAATGGTGCCGACATAATAAAACAAAACCGTAAAAATAATAAAAACTAATAGTATAAAAACAGCGTACAATAAAAAAAATAATGAAAACATTTCAACCCAACAACGGGAAGAATTTACGACAGAAATGCATTCATTTACTATTGTCTAGTGTATGGTTATTTTTGTAAATAGAATATAAAATATATGAATGAAGAATATTATAGAATAAATTAAGTATTAGTGTGAATTCAATGTTATTCTAGGTACAAAATGGGTCTGAAATCAGATGCTGTATTTGATAGGATAAAGGGATTGCTAGCAGACAACCCAGACAAAGCCAAATCTATTAACGGAGTATTTGTTTATAACATCACAGAAGGTGGAAAACAAGTAAAGCAATGGAGTACGTATTCGTATAAACATAATATTCATATAGAATAGGGGAAGTACGGAAAAATTACATGATGTTTTGTTTTTCAATTATATTTATTTATTTAAATATATTATAATCAATCTCAATCGTTTCACTCATCATAGATTCATTCACTATCAGTAACAACACGGCTTTTTAATTAAATAAGAACTATAACAATATATTTATCACAAAAGAGTGTATCATATTACAAAAACCATTTTATTCATATAATAAGGATAAAATGACGTATAAGGTTAGGACATACTGAGATACTAATTTTTAGGCAGATAGTTCATAAATATATCAGTTGGTCTTCTTTGGGACGTCAGCACATGAGACCAAAGGCTACAAATCATACATGCTAACCAACATTTCCGGGCTCAGAAGGTGGATCCTTTGGTCTGTTTTTAGAAATAGTTAGAGCAGAAGTTAAAAGCCAATCACCTTTGAGAAGTTTAAGTTTTCTTTTTTCTTGGTCTCGAATGAACTACCTAACCTGTAGTGCTTTCGAAATAGTACTATGTCATTTTGTCTATTGTACTAGAATGTCATTTTGTTAGAAGGCGAACAAAAATGAATAAATAATCAAAATTCCAACAAACACCTGTTAATTACAATAAAATTGATCAAAATCACTAGTACTGGCATAAGTTCATTGATTCCAATAGAAATAATTACAAATAACAACGAATAAGCCCCAAAAAACATGACAAAACCACCTTCAAAATGAACTCTGGAAGGCGTGGTGATGCACGTTTGAACTTGAACAATAATACGACAATGACGCTCAACATCTGACAAGATTGTGACTATAAATTTTTTCATGTTATACAGTCGCGGAAATTTTACTAAAACTAGCCAAATTTCAAATAAAACCACTGTATAATTTTTTCTCATATATAAAATTTTATCTGTATTTGCTCTTTTATCAACTACTCCGTTTTAATATCAATTTAATTAACATTTAATTCATAGGGTTGGAGTTTTGTTTAGATATACAATAGTTTGGAATTACTGTTTTTGTTGGAATTAATTAATTTAGAATACTTATACACAAAACATTAGACTATAGGAAATTCCAAAGATTGACTTGTGTTTATGATTCGAATCATTACGTATATGTATATTCTAATACTCGCACACAACGTTATTTCCTCAATTCAAAAGTTTTTTCTTCTGTAAGCAATTCTATAGCAATAAAAAAAGTATTTCAATTGGCAGTTAGCGAATGAGAAAGTTCACAATTAATATTTTATGGATTTGTGAAGTGCCTGTGTTTGTTTAAACTTAGAAAAGTTTAAAATAAACTGGCATACAACACGCGAAGTTTTTCAACCAGCTCCGATAGCTTTAGTTCTAAAGTTCCAGTTATAATAGAATCACACGGTTTAACGCAAACTTATAATGTGTTTATCACATTATACTTTTTTATTTTAAGAGCTGGGGTGGTTCTCTCCAGTGCATTTTTACATGCAGTGGCACCTTGGTCTCGCAAGTTTCCGTAAAAGAATTTAATATTTGTTTCTTTGTCGATCGTAGTCTTATAGCGTTCCGAAGGGTAGATCGACGCTTTCACATAGTCTAAGTCCAACGTGAAAACGACCGGGAAATAAATATTGGAAAAGTCGGAATAATTGAGGAAAAGCTTGATTTTGTCCCAGTCATGCCTTTCGTAATTCTGTGGTAGGGCTTAATCGATCAAAACATTATAATTTTAGGTTAAATTTTATTTGAAAAAAAAATGCATAGTACTTATTTCAGTCAATGAAATTAATTTCGAGAGAAAATACCTAATTTCTGTTTTGAAGTTGAAACTACATTTTTATATAATATGCAATAAGAATCTATTTTTCCAACACGATCATCATTATTACGCTCAGTCTATAATATAATACTTCAGAAAATAAATATCATATCTGCGCAGATTTCTTATTCTTGTTAAATTATTTCTTCTTATGTTTCCAAATAAAGTTTTGTTCAGTAATTTTATCCATTTGCAAAACTTTTAATTAGAAATCTTTTATCCAAAAGAGATATATAACTACAGCCCAGTAAAAAGTATATTCATATTTACGAATTGGAGAATATTTTGACCGACACTCAATTTTTCACAACTAAATAAATATATTACTATCTATTTAAACTGTTGAAACATCTTCAGAATATTTTTTTATTTTATTTGAAAGTTTCAAATTAAATCTTAATGCAACCTATTTGAGAAATCAACGAGAGTTTTCTTTTACAATTTTTCCCGGGCGAAAAAATATATCGGAAGAGAGGATTTTTAAGTATTTTTCAGTAAAAAATGACTTTTTAGTAAATGACAAAGTATAATAAAACTATTTAAGGATATATTGAAAATTTGTTCTATTATGAATCATTTTGTTAAATCAGAGTTACTAACAAGAGCAACCTCAGGTTTATTCTACTAGAGTTTTGATCAAACTTTGCATGACGATATAGTTGATAGTCCAACCGAATACTTTAAAATATTATAGGCCTATGAGAAATGGTTCGATTGTGCATATTAATAAAAAATTTGAGAAATAGGCTGCACGCCTTCGGTATACAAAACTTTTTCTTTCTAGATATGTTTTTTAGGTCTCATTCGCCTTTTACCATTCTATAAGTGCATATATTAGAAGCCAGCGATATGCATTTTTACTTGAAAATTTAGATGAAAAATATGTTTTCAATTGAAACTAGCCCATTTTGGGAACTGCGAAATGGCAATAGGAAACCTCTCCCCCTATTCTTCCCTAAAACGAGTCCAATTCGTTTAACTCATCTCACGGACCTGACCTAGGGCAGTCCTACCCATATTAGAAGTAGCACAACTGTTTCGCTTCATATTTGGGCATAAAAAACAGGACATAAAATCCGAATCCGAGACAAATAAAGCTTCTAGAAAAATCCGGGATTCTCCCGGCCACCTCAGACGTTTGGTCACCTTAGTAGTAAATGACTTAAATAGCTTAAAATGTTAAAACGACACTGGCCTTTAGACTTAGTCTTAGATTAGGTCTAATATAATATTATCATATTAATTGTTAAGCTGTGAAGATCTCATTGGAGTTCTTCTTAGGAATCCCTCTTAAATATTGTCAATTTAGCTCATAGGAATCGTCATGTATTTCTGATTGCAAAATAAAACAGAGTTAAAAAAAAAGATGTTAAAACTAAAATTATCTTTTCACTATATGAGTTTCACAATCTTCATTGAAAGCCACAAAGCGTACAAATATATGTTTTTATTATTTATATTTTTATATTGATTTTCGATTTTAGCGATCGATTTAAAGAACTTGAAATTGTACGAGGGACCAGCCGAGAAGAGTGTTAAGGTGGATACAACACTAACCGTGTCTGACGAAGACTTCGTCGACATCGCCCTCGGCAAACTGAACCCACAACTCGCATTTATGAAGGGAAAACTCAAGATCACCGGAAACATAATGCTTACGCAGAAACTGGTTCCATTGCTGAAAACGGAAGCCAAACTGTAGAGTGTCAGATGTCTGACGAACATATATTGTGTTACGCGCATCATATGAATATGACTGAATATGAACGCGTCCATGCATAATACAATAATAAACCATGGGAGGCTGGATTTTAGGACAATTTTTTTATCATTTTATATTTATATAGCTAAATAAATGTCTGTATTATACGAAGATTGTATTGTCTTTACTTGATGTACCTACTTGTTCTTAAAATATTTATAATAAAATCAATTTCACTATAATGTTGATTTTTTTCTAATTTTCTTTTCTAAAAAATTAACCGAATTTAAAAAGAGGTAAAATACTGATTATTTAGCGATTGGATGCCTCAATTTATTAAGTCAATTTCAGGAGGATTCTTAGTGGTGTTGTCGAGCCGGAACATATCGTTCGGGTACGTTTTTGGACAGGAACGCTTTCTGGAACTGAAGCTGATTTCTGATAATGAGCGTTTTTTATTTTCAAATTGTTAATTTTTTTTATAATTTCTGACGCATTTTTATATGTATTATTATAAACAAGGGTTTGAACCGAACCCGAACCGGAACGTTGTTTTTCTGCACCGTCGTCCGGAATGTTTTTTGTGACTGGAACTCGAACCGAACCGAGAGAAATACGAGAACCGGTTTTGAACCGATTTTTAAAACGTTCCGGGAAAAAAATTTTTCACAGCACCTCTTAGGCTACTGAGCATTTGGATTTTGAAATTTGTTAAAATCAAAGGCAGTATTTTTCACGTGCCTCACACTGCGATGATATTTTTTTCGCATCTTTAAACTTTCTAAAGAATTTTATTTTGGTGCAAACCTAACTTAGCACTTTCAACACACAAATTTTGCCGTTAATAAGTCAAATAAATCAAACAATCCAATAAATTTAATGGAGTAGTTATAGAATATAATTATAATAAGTTCTGTTAATGATTATATCTACTAACTCAAAGCCAAATAAGGTTGAAGTATCATTGAAAATATGCAGAAATGGCTTCGTTTTTCAAGCCGACTTTCGCAAACGTAAAACTTATTAAAGAAAAAAGTGGTTGTATACATAGTGGTGTGTACAGTGGTGACTGTATTATTTATAGAACACCATGTTAAATAACAATAATGAAACATACCGCTTTTTCGTGTTTTATCTGATTTTTCCTGAAGACCTTAGGTAGTCGTAGGTGTAAATCGTATTAATAACCAGGGTGGGATCGATTTTGTAAGAAAAAAACGGCTATATTTTTTATAATTTAAATATGAATTTGAAATAAAAACAAGCGATTTTTACTGTTACATTCAAATTGCTGAAAATTTTTAATTGTGTCTAAGTATCGGATCTATTTTTATACAACTCCAGGATCCGCATCACACCAAATTTTATTGCCGCAAAACTGAATAAAATAACATATATTTCATAGTTTTCAAAAAAAAATTAAATTAAAAATAGTGGGTAATTATTTACAAATCGGAATGATGAGATACTTAATGTTTTTTTATTTTATTTGTAGCGGCTTGAGCAATTTTGGTTACTCCTAATATTTACTAATTTGTTCAATGTTATAATTTATTTTTGTATAAGAAAAAAAGTTTAGCACTTTCTTTCGAAGGTTGAGAAAGTAATTAAAGAACTCATTCTTTAATTACTTTCTCAGCCTTCAAGGACTGCTACTATTTCATATATAAATAGTAATAATTACATAATTATAATTATAAATTATAATTATGTAATTTTATAGTAATAAATACTATAAAATGAATAAGTAAGCAGAATAACTAAATACATATATAATATATAAATATTGTTATTGACTAGTGGTTTCAATATTAATTTGTTACAACAAATGCAATTTAAAATAGAATGTGAGAGAATTTGATATGGGATATTGATTTTCATTAATACTTATTAAAGATGATATATAAAGCCGTTCACAATATAAATAAAGTTACGAAGAACGCTATTCAATATTATATGGTTTCAATCGAGAAGCTCATTTTTCAACAAAAAAGGAAAACATTTTTCATAGCAATGGATTATTATGGCGTCAATGGGATTTATTAAATCTCATTTACAACTCATTGATGACATTTAAGGACCACATAAAACATTCAACACAATTGAAATAAAATTTCATATAAAATATTTATCTTATAATTTTAATTTATAAATGAAATTTTAAAATAAAAGAGTTTAATACACTTAAACATTATGCGACTATAATTAATATAATATGCTATATATCATAGAAATCACTTATCAATCAAAATTAAACTAATGCGAAGAAAACAAAAAATTGAAAAAATGTTTAAAAGGTACACGGGTAAATAGGCAATAACTCAAAAACAAGTAAATATAGGAATTTCTTAACAACAATATTTGAAAGATGGAAAAAGACGTATAATCACCTATACCAAATTTTCTTCATTCGTTGTTAGTTTTCTTGGTTGTGAGTACTGCTGTTTAGTTTACGAGACTTTGATTCAATTTTTAAGCATAAAATTATTATTTATTTAGATGTTTTATAAGTCATAATGTTAATTTTAATTTAAACTCAACCGTTTTTTAACTTACACCTAGTTGGGGTAAAAAGGACTCACGAACCTTTGACGTAGCAAAGACGAAAGCAATAACAAATAGTAAATAAAAATATAAATTCAGTTAAAAAAGCAATTTTATAATATAAATTTATAAATTAAATAAATAGTTATTTCAACTCTGCCGATAAATATTTCTGACGAAATACCAGATCAAAGGATTTACTTTGTAAAAAATGCACCCTTGAAATTTATATTTTGCATTGGTTGAATAATTTCATTCACTTAATATTTTGTAAAATTAAAATAAAACATTCGACGTGTTTGCCTCCTGGCCGTTTCAATTTATTCCACCTATGGGGTAAAAAGGACCGGGTTACAAATTGTAAGCAAATGCCAGATCAATGTTATATACTATAGCGTTATTTCTGTAAAAAATGTGCCCACGAAATGTATATTTTGCATTGGTATGATATTGTAGCTATTATTTAGTAAAATTAAATTTTTAGAAATAAGACATTGGATCTGTTTGCCTCCTGGCTTTCTCATTGTACCCCGCATATATGGGGTAAAAAGAGAGAGATGACAATTTTGAGAAAAATAGTAAAGAACATATTTCTATAATTAGGAATTAACTGAGAATATTATTGAACATAGTACGATATTTGTGTTTTTATGTACGTGTTATGTGTTGTGATTATGATGCAGTTCTTTTGGTATAATTACTGAAATTGGACCTTAGTGCCCCGCTATACCCTGCAGTTTATTTGCATTTTTTATTATGACAAACGTTTTCGTCATATCAGGGCATTCTTTTTGAATTTTTAGGTACCTGTAGTTGTGGTGGTGGTAAGGTGAATTCTGAAAGGTAATAATTTTCCCGTTAAAGCTTCCCCGTGGGTTGGAGGTTAGAGCTATGGGCTTTCGAACTTAAGTTTCAAGCCGTTTTCTATATCCACCTTGGATAGCCTGAATTCAAGCAGCCGTAACATCTATTTTTACTTAAAATTATTTAGAAACAGTCCATACCCGACGGCATTGTTGCATCACTAAAGTACTGGGTACTGAGTACCTTACGTTTCATCATCATGTAGTAATACTTATGAAGACTAAAAAATGATGATTTATAGTTTTAAATATATTATTTATAAAAAGATTCAGTGAGTTATTTTAACAGTTAAGCTCTCCTATTATTTTATTAACAAATAATACATATTCTGATTTGTTTTTGTTATAGCTAGAAAAAAATGACAGAGCTTTATTTGAAAAAAATAAATTAGGTTTGTATAAAAATTTTATATTAATTTTACATAATTTTAATTTCACTCGTTTACATTATTAATTTTACTAAAGTGAAATTTTGCAGATTGAAGATATTTTTAGTTTGAACATGTAATCATCTTTCATCTTGTTTAAAATCATTATTCAATTAAAGTAAAGCTTCTGTGCGAAAGTTTAGCGAAGTTCTCCTCGTTCTTATACAATCCTTCCTCTGTCTACGCCATTGCCGGTCGGAAGTGTGTACTTTCCCGGTATGTGTTTTTATTATGACAAACTGTGCTTATTGTGTGACACTTTTGTTCTTTTTATATCATTTTTATGAGTATGTGAGGTGTCTTTTTTATAGAATGCGAATATTATGGCACTTTCGCCTAAGCTCAAGAGACAACGATTCGAAATGATGAAAGTGTAAACCTCAGAACACACGCTTATACCGAATTTTATGTTTTCATATGGAAATATTTAAATATTTTATATATCATGTTAATAAAAAAAACATGAGAGAGAAAAGAATATAATTATTACCAAAAATTTCTGCTGATATATTTCTAAAAATGCATTATATATGAACGCAGCATGTGTAATACATTGTTTTTTTTGTTGCTCATAGCTTTGTAATTTACAAATTGTAGCATCTGTGCTTAATAATACTTTTTAGGATGAAGCGTAACAAATAGTGGATAATTTTTACTAAGGTACTGTTTTCCGCAGAAGTGATACTGCTGTACGGAACAGCGAGCCGCCCAGTAGGTCCACAAAGAAAAGTTGTCTCTATTAGGTGTGCGGCATATGTTATCCAATATAGTTTTTACCGCTAAACACGAATCTAAAGTCAAATGACAATAAATTGAAACAAAAATAAAAAAAGCGATAAAATCTCCGATCTTGTAATTCTTCTGCATGATAATTAAAATTTTATAATTTCTGTCCTTACCGCGCCTATTTCAACTAATTGGTTATTCACTGAAATGATCTAACTTTTTTGCATAATTCAGCAGTAATTTGCAAACAAATAAATCTAGATCTAAAATTTTGCCTTTTTTTATTTATTTTTTTCAATTTTTTGCCATTTGACCCCAAATTTTAACTTCAGATTCGTGTTCAGCAGTGAAAACTATTAGAAAACATATGACGCACACCATAATACAGGCAACTATTTTTTTTGGACCTGTGTTATCAATAAAAATGTATTTAAAAATTTTAAATTACTTCTAAAGAACTAGCAATTACAATAACTAATAAGAACTCACACTAAATTAACTTAGATTTA